TGTATATCACTTTGGGTAGTATGGACATTTTCACTATGTTGATTCTTCCAATCCAAGAGCATGGGATATCTTTCCATCTTCTTGTATCCTCTCTAATTTCTCTCAGCCGTGGTTTGTAGTTCTCATTATAGAGATTTTTCACATCCTTGGTTAACTCAGTTCCTAAGTATTTAATCTTTTTGGTGGCTACTGTAAATGGGCAGGCTTTCTTGATTTCTCTTTCTGCATGTTCACTATTGGAGAATAGAAATGCTACTGATTTTGTGTGTTGATTTTGTATCCTGCTACTGTGCTGAACTCATTTATCACCTCCAAGAGTTATTTTGTAGAGTCTTTAGGCTGTTTGATATATAGGATCATGTCATCTGCAAACAGGGACAGTTTGACTTCATCTTTTCCAACCTGGATGCCCTTTATTTCCTTCTCTTCTCTGATTGCTCTGGCTAGTACTTCCAACACTATGTTGAATAGGAGTGTCTCACACACAGGTTTTTATGTGAACATATATTTTCAGTCCTCTTGGATAAATGCCTAGGAGTGGAGTTGCTTGTTTGTATGTTTAACTTTGTTATGGATTGCCAACCTTTTTTCAAAGTGGTTGTGTACCATTTTGCATTCCCACCAACAGTTTACAAGATCTTAACTGTTTTACATCCTTGACAGCACTCGGTATTGTCAATTGTTTTTGTTTTAGTCATTCTTACAGGTACAGTGTATCTCATTGTGGTTTTGATTTGCATTTCCCTAATGACTAACAGTGTTGAGCATGTTTTCATGTGTTTGGCATCTGTATCTATTCTTTGGTGAAATTTTTTTTTTTTTTTTAAAGATGACCAGTAAGGGGATCTTAACCCTTGACTTGGTGTTGTCAGCACCACGCTCACCCAGTGAGCAAACCCATGGCCTTGGTGTTATCCGCACCACACTCTCCCAAGTGAGCCATGGGCCGGCCCCTTTGATGAAATTTTTATTCAAATATTTTTCCCATTTTTAAATTGGGTTGTCTGTTTTCTTGTTATCGAATTTTGAGAGCTCTTTATATTTTCTGGGAATAAGCTCTTTTTCAGATTTGCATATATTTTCCCCTACACTGTGGCTTTTCTTTTCATTTTCTTAGTAGTGCTTTTAGAAAAGCAGATTTTAAATTTGGTGATGTCCAATTCGTCTATTTTCTGTTTTATGGATTGTTCTTTTGATGTCATATCTAAGAAATCTTTGCCTAATCTAAGGTTGCAAAATTTTAGAAGTTTTTATAGTTTTATGTTTTATGTTCAGGTCTGTGATTCATCTTAAGTTAATTTTTTTTTGCCAGGGGCATGGGGAGGAGCAGCTGGCTGGTACGGGGCTCCAAGCCCTTGACCTTGGTATTATAACACCATGCTCTAACCAACTGAGTGAACTGGCCAGCCCACTTAAATTTTATATGTGGTGCAAGATACAGATTGGGATTCTTATTTATTCATTTATATTTGCATTAGGATGTCAGATTATTTCAGCACCATTTGTTGAACATGTTTGATATGGTGTTAGTGTTATTAATATTTATTACAGTTCTTTTAATTTGGAAACACCCTGGGCACATTGTAGTCTTAAAAAGAGGTAGCTAATGAGGAACTTTAGTAAATCCAGATTGTTGATTTTTATAATACTAGGGATTCGTTTAGTATTATGTTAATCCTTTTTATTTTGTTAAAGGTCTCAAGATTCTGCCCTCCAAGGAAATCTTGCCATGATTGGATAGGACCCCCAGATAAGTATTCAAATCTTCGACCTGTTCACTTTTACATCCCTGAAAATGAATCACCATTAGAACAAAAGCTTAGAGAATTAAGACAAGAAACACAAGAATGGAATCAACAGTTTTGGGCAAACCAGAATCTGACCTTTAGGAAGGTAAGTTTAGGTTTTTGATCAGAATGAGAAATAATGCAGTTGGCCACTTGGGGGTGCTCAGCCTTTGGTATTTGCTTTGTCTTTCTGTCATTTGGTAGCCTCAGTTCCTCCTTTTGTCTCCCCCCCATCTCTCTATGTGCGTTTGTATATGCGTATAATTTTTCCAACCAATATGCAACTGTGTGTAAGAAACATTGGTCATTCATGGAATCACAGATCTTGAGACTTTCAAGAAGTGGAGTGGAGTGAGGAACAGAGCCAGAATTAAAAGTACATGTTTTACATGTGTGTGTTTGTGAAATTACAGGTTTCTGTGATGTGTTATCGTGCTTCCTGAGAATTCAAAATTCTTAACAGCATACTTCTGAACAAAGCATATGAGAAAGAAGTATAAATATTCTAATTCAAAAGAAAAACATTTAAACTTTATTTATCCATTTGGGTGGGCTAAATCAAATTTTATTTTCTGGATTTTATAATTTTATTTTGTGAATTTATAAACAAACAGTGCCTCCTAAGTTTATTGAACATCTTGTTTTCAAATCCTATTTCGGGCATGAAACTTTTAACCAAATTCTGATGGTTTGAAAGGGGTTTGGGCGAAAAAAAAACATGTTTTGAGCTGGGCTGTTTCTCAGGAGTTCATTTACAGACTTCAGAATACTGTGAACTGTGCCCTTTGCAAGGAAAAATGGAAAGATGGGGAAAGGGAGTTCTGACGGTCATCTTCTTTTAGGAAAAAGAAGAATTTATTCACTCAAGACTAAAAGCTAAAGGCCTAGCACTGAGAGCTGAATCAGGTTAGTACATTTGCTCTTTTTTTCTAACATTGTTTTGGTTTGAGCACGTACATGAGAAGGTAGAGAGAGGGGAGGTCGAATGAAGGGGAGAGAGTCCAGGTTCAGGGGTCGGTGGGCCTTCCTTGAGGCAGGTGCTATGGGGCACACCGCCGTCCCCAGCAGGGCTTTTCCGCCCCTCACTGCATCCCTGGCTGCCTCCTGTTCTCATGTTTTCCTCATTTGCCTCCTGGGCTTCTCTCCTTTCACATGCCCCTCACCACTGGTAGCCCCCAAGCATCAGTTATGAGTCCCGGGCCCTCTTCTCTCTTTGGATGACATCACACCGTCTCAGGATTTTAGGTGATTCTCATCAGTGACTAATCTCTGACCTTTAGGCTTATATCCTGAAGTCCCAGGCCTCTGCAGCCTCTCCCTCTTCCACACCAGCTCCTCTTCCTGGATTCCTGGTCTCCGTTCATGGTCCCACTGGAGCCAGAAGCCAGAGCCGTCCTCCAGGCAGCTCTCTCACCCCTTCAGACCTCCTCCAGTTTCACCTCTGGAGCGTTTCTCCACCCTGCTGCTGCTCCCTGGCCTTCGAATATCACTCTAGTTCAGGCCCTTGTTAATTCTCTGCCAATTGCAGTAACTTCTTATTGGTTCCCTGGCCTCTACTCTTTAAATCAGAGGTTGCCGAACTTTTTCTGTAAAGGGCTAGATAACAAATAGCTTAGCCTTTGTGGTCTCTGCAGCTACTCGACTCTGCTGTTGTAGTGTGGAAGCAGCTGTAGAAAATATGAGGGTCTTCAAAAGTTCATGGAAAGATTCCTATTACCTTTTAATTCTGTTTTTCCATGAACTTTTAGAAGTACCCACGTATAGAAACAAATGGGCTTGACTGTATTCCAATAAAATGTTTTTTATTAAAACAGGCAGCGGAACAGATTTGGCCTGTAGGGTGTAATTTATCCATCCCTGCTTTAAATCCATTCTTTGTGCTGTAGCCAGACTGTTCTACCCAAAATGCATATTAGACAGTCGCTGCTCAGCTTAGTTCTGAGACTCCCCATGACTGCGGAAGGACAGCCACGCTCCTCCTCTGAGTAGGAGGCCTGCCTGGCCTGCCCTGCCCCATGCCTCCCCTCTCACCTGTTTTGGGTCTTCCCCGCCAGGCTGTGCACTTGATGCACCAGGGAAACCAGACAGCGTTCAGCTCCTACCTGCTGTGCAGTCATTTCTTTTTGGACAGAAAGTCTAGTGCTCAAAATAGCCTATAATCATTTTCTCTTGGTGTTGATGTTAGGCCTTAATAACATTTCATAGTTTGTTAAATAAATGTCTACTATCAAACGTTATTCCGATGGAAAATCAGAATGTCCTTGGGCTGAAGTGCTGTCACTGTCCCTGCCACTCAGCCTTGCCTGGGTCTGTTTAGCGTAAAGTGCGGGGGAGCTAGAGTAACCTGGGGCCAGGCCCCTGTCATTTGCTATTTGCTGACTGCTGCATGGGCCACACAGGGGTGGGGTCTCAGAGGGTAGGAGCAGGGGCCAGTGCTGCGTCCTAAAGTAAGATGAGAATAACAGCTCACTGCTTGGTGCTGCCTGTGTGCTGGGTGCTGTGCTGAGTCCTTCATATGCATCACCTGTTTTCCCACAGTAACCGAATGAAGTGGCTACTATTGTCTCTCCATCTTACAGACGAGAAACCTGAGGCTTACTAAGCGCAAGTTCCTTAACTAAGGTTCCACAGTGAGGAAGTGGTGGGGCCTAGATTCCCACCTAGGGTCTGATTCCAAGGGCCTGCTGGACCTCAGCCCGCCACAGTGGCTCCCGGCTCATTCCATGCTGTGCTGGCCATGTGTGTGTGTGCGTATGCACACTCCATGGGTGCTGTGTCTGCAAGTATGTCATCAGTGTCAGGTGGGATCAGGATGTATCATGCTGTGGGGACTAGCCACTGCCTTGACAGATGGGAGAGGTTGTTTTGAGTCTTATTAATATCACAGAATTCTACTATTGAATGGCTGCCCTTAAGTCAGATATTAAAATTAATTTGGTAATAAAACAGGACAGAATGAATGGAGGAAAGGAAACCTGAACGGAGCTGCCTGCTCTGGCAGCTTTGTAAACAGTTACCAGGCTCAGAGCCTGAAATGGGGGTGGGTTGACAGGCATGTCACCTTGGAGGGCCAGAACACACATCCATTCATAGATGTGCTTAATACATGAGTACAGAGGTCCCCCAGAACTGAGGGAAGAGGGAGTGTGTTTAATAAATGATGTTGGAGAAACTAATTACTCTTGGCCCCAAAGAATAACTTCAGATTCATTCCCCTCTGCCATACAAATATGTTCCAAATGGGCCAAAAATCAATTATTTATGGGTTAGAGAGTTAAATGCACAGCTCCTAGTTGTAGAAGGTCTAACAGAATGAAATTGACTCTGTTACCTGGAGGAATGCTAATTCCTCAGCCTGACAGGAAAGGGAGAGCAGCGGGCACGAAACAACTGAGGACCCTGTGCTAGTTCACGCTCCTTGTGAGCGGACTTTCTAGGAGGAGGGTTCGCTGAGCAGGTGCTGAGGAGCTCAGGCCAGGGCAGTGGAGCTGGACCCCAAGTGCAGCCTGCGCTCAGACGCCGGCACCATCCCAGGCTCCTCCTTCCTCCTGGAGGCTGAACTTCTCTCTGCCCTGTTTCATGCTTCTCTTGCCGTAGACCGGCTCCCTCTGCCTCCCAGTTTATCCCTCCCTCGTTCAAGAAAGTAGGTGGCCTGAGGCAGAGGGGGGTGTTGTGTTGAATGAGCTGCTGCCATGGAAACGTGGGATGGAGGAAGGAGGCCCAGAGTGCAGGGCAGACAAAGGGGTCAGTGTCCAGCAAACAGGGCAGTAAACCATGCAGGGCAGAGGGTGAGTGCTTGCAGCAGAGATGGCCTGGGCACTCTGGACTTTAGGAAGAGCCACGGCAAACTGCAGAAATAACACCACACCTATAGACAAATAGCGTGACTACAAGAAGAAAAGGTCGCTCAAACTCTAAATTTTACCGTGCATCTTAAGCAACAGGACACCATTTCATGCGTACTGGATTCATGGGGGTTTCAGTGAGTGGAGTTACACTGATGATTACTGGCAGCACGAAATTCCCAGCCCCTTTCTAGGAGGATTTAGCTACACATGTTACACCTGTGCCAAGAAGCAGGAAAATGATGACCATGAAAGAATTAGAGGAAAGGGTGGGAAGAGGTCAGCTGTGTGTTCCATGCAGCATAGTCCTTAATTGCAAAAGGATGGAAGATATCGAAGTATCCAAAAGGAGCTGATTAGATAAGGCTATGGTGGCCCGCCCACTCACCGGATGGTCACTGGCATTTTCTGCAGCAACATAGAAAAATTATTGATTTCAAGTGCAAAAAGCAGAATACTATGATTTCAGTTCTGCCTGTCCCAGAATTGAATCTCATGTGTAGGGTCAGCAGTACTGCGGGAGAATTCTTTCCTCTAATTTCTTTTATTGCAAGGGTTTATGCAGTGGAAAAAAAGTATGCCTTCAGGATGGATTTACTTTACGTCAGTACTTGGTTTTAGTGAATTAGATTGTTCACCTCTCTCTTGACTTGGTGTTATGTGCAGTAATGAACTGCAGTGTCCACAGGTGTGGACCGTGAATGACTTAACACACATCTCTGGCATGTCTTCTTTAGGCTGAGCGTTGACCTGGGGTGTTTGGGCAAGGTGGCTGTGGCAGGGGAGTCAGTGTCGGCAAGCTCGGCCTGCCTCTGCCACCCAGCCTCTCCCTCAGCTGCTGGAACAGCAGCTGTTACAAGTGGGAGCTTTGGTGTCAGGCTCTGGCCCTCCTGCCACACTGACTAGAACTCAGACTCAAGGCAGCCTGGGGAGGGTGTGCTGTCGTGGCCAAATGCTTGGGCTGAGGAAAGCAAGGCACAGAGAAGTCACAGTTCTAGGCCACCCAACCAGTTAGGAACAGAGCGTGGCCCCCATCAGTGGGAGTGGAGCTGCTGTGCCTGCTGCTGCCACTCGGAGGGTCAGCTTTCTTACCTCTTCAGCTCTTCCTGTGGTGATGAGAGGCCATGAAAGATGGCACGGGATGCCACCTTGGGGGTGCACACACGCTTCTCCCCGAAAGGACTGGTCAGAAACCCAACTTGACACCACAGAGATGTGGCCACTTCCAGGGCCGCGTTCATGCCTCTGCCTGAAGCTGGAGCCTGGTTCCTTGGACCCCCGATTTCTGGCCTGCTTGTCCCCTCCTCATCCACTGGCCTCAGCCACCTCTGTGCTCTCCACCCCCTTCATCTGCTCTTCCTGCCCATCCTGGCCCACAGCTCACATGTCCCCTCCCTCAGGGCCTTTGGCTTCACTCCCTTCCTCAGGTAGCCAGCTGCCCCTGCTTTTGCCTGCTTGGTGTGCATTCATTCATGTGTGCATTCACTCATGCGTGCATTTATTGGAGGTAACAGGTACCGGGTATGATGCTAGTCACTGGGACTTGGTGGGTGAGCCAGGACACAGAAGATAAACTAAATGGCCCACAACTGCAGAGTTAGTAAATGGCAGAGCTGAGATTGAAAGCAGAGCAGGGGGTGTGGAGTTAGATTGCCTTCTGTTCAGGTGCCAGAACAGAGAGCACAGCCATCTGCGTGAGTGAAGGGTTGGCCAAACACTCCCCTCCTGTGTGGAATAGGCCCTGGGTCACCTTCCCAGCTCTGCCTGTGCTTCCCTAAGCTTCCCAGCAAGCGGAGCACCAGCATCCACTGTGCCACCTGGTCTGCGCCCTGGTGGAGGCGGCGTCTACAGGGCGAGGTGAGTGGACCAGGCGCCCAGGGAAGGAGTCAGAGTGGGGCCTTCTGCCTCTGCATGGGGTGCTCTGGAAGTGCAGGAACTGGGCTCTTGCAAGGGATCATGGTTCCTGTTCATGGCCTGGGGCTTATAAGCTGGATTTAAAAAAAAAAAAAAAGAAAGAAATATATTTGACTAATGGTTCTGGAGACTGAGAAGTTCAAGAGCATGGCGCCAGCATTTGCTGGGCATCTAGTGAGGGCCTTCTTGCTGCTTCATCCCATGACAGAAGGTGGAAGGGCAAGTGATCTTGAAAGACAGAGAGGAAATCGGACTAAACTCATCCTTTTTATCAAGAACCCATTCCTGGGATAACAGCGTCACCTCTGAAAAGTCCCACCTCTTAATACTGTTACAATAGCATTTAATTTTAACAAGTTGTGGAGGAGACTTTGAAACCATAGCAGCATCACACATTATGCACATGTATAGATATACACCTGTGTCTGAATCAGTTGTGAAGACAATGAGCTACACTGTAATCATTAGAGTCTAATGATAAAGGCAGATACTTTTTTTCACTCTTGAGTCTTTTTTCTTTACTGAAATATAATTCACATATTATAAAATTCGCCCTTTTAAAGTGTATAATTCAGTGGTTTTTAGTATCCTCAAGATCACCACTATCTAATTCCTGAACATTTTCATCACCCCAAAAAGAATCCCCTTACCCATTAGTCAGTTTCAATTCCCTCCTCCCCCATCCCCTGGCAGGCACTAATCTTTCTGTCTCTATGGCTTTGCCTGCTCTGAACATTTCCAGGTAAGTGGAATCATACAATATGTGGTCTTTTGTGTCTGCCTTCTTTCACTTAAGTTCCTAATGTTTTCAAGGTTCATCCGTGTCTTAGCATGTATCAGTACTTTAGAGATTCCTTTTTATGGCTAAATAATATTCCATTGTATGGATATACCAAATTTTCTTTTTCCATTCATCAGTGGATGGACATTTGGATTGTTTCCACTTTTTTACTATTATGAGTTATGCTGCTGTGAACAATCATGTTTATATACGTGGAGTTGCAGGGTTGAGAGGGTTTTTTCCCTCCTGACACCAAATACATAGTGTCTGGCAGTTCAACTCAGTTCTGACACTATCTCCCTAGCATCAGATCCCACAAGTTAAAGGGTTCAGTCCCCAAGACCACCCCCACTTGAGATGCCAATTGCAATTCCCAGGCTACTTCTTACTGATGGGCTATAAATTGGAGGTTCCTATGACCCTTTCTGAAGATTTGATAATTTTCTATAACAGATCACAGAAATCAGGAAAACACTTTATTTGCTCTTATTGGTTTATTATAAAGGATACTACTCAGGAAGAGGCAGATGGGAGAGGTGCATAGGGCAAGGTATGGGGGTGGCGTCGAGCTTCATGCCCTCTCTGGGTGCTCCATCCACCCAGCTCCTTGATGTATTTACCAACCCAGAAGTTCTCTGAACCCCATAGTTTGGGGGTTTTTTTTATGGAGGCTTCATTAGATAGGCATGGTTAATTAAGTCATTGGTCATTGGTGATAGGCTCCATCTTTAGCCCCTCCCTCTCCCTAGAGGTTGGGGGGTAGGGCTGAAAGTTTTAAGCTTCTAATCAAGGCTTGGTCTTTTCAGAGACCAGCCCCCATCCTGAAGCTATCCAGGAGCACAAGAGTCACCTCATTAGAACAAAAGAAGCTCCTGTCACCCTCATCACTCAGGAAATTCCAAGAGTTTTAGTAGCTCTGTGCCAGGAACCTGGGACAAAGACCAAATATCTTTCTGATACTGCATGGGTCTTATGATAACTTGATGTTTAACTTTTTTGAGGAACTGCCAAGCTGTTTTCCAAAGTGGCTGCACCGTTTACATTCCCACCAGCAGTGCATTAGAGTTCCAGTTTCTCCACATCCTCACCAACACATGTTATTATGTATTTGATTATAGCCATCCTAGTGGGTGTGAAGTGGCACCTCATTGTCTTTTTTATTTGGATTTCTCTAATGATGTTCAGCATCTTTTCATGTGCTTTTTCATTATTTGTATATATTCTTTGGAAATATGTCTATTCAAATTCTTTGCCCATTTTTAAGTTGGGTTATTTGTCTTTTTATTGCTGAGATATGAGTTCTTAACATATTCTGGACACTAGACCCTTATTAGATAGATGGTTTGCAAATATTTTCTCCCATTCTGTAGGTTGTCTTTTTACTTTCTTGATGGTGCCCTTTGAAGCACAAAAGTTTTTAATTTTGACAAAGACCGGTTTATCTGTGTTTTTGTTTTGGCAGCTGGCCAATATGGGGATCTAAGCCCTTGACTGTGGTGTTATAATACCACGCTCTAACCAACTAAGCTACCTGGCCAGCCACGGGCGAGCTCTAAGCACGTCTGTGTAGTGTTCTTCCTCAGAGAAGCCACGGTCGGAGCAGGAGAAGGTTTAAGTGTCATATCTAAAAAATATTGCCTAATGCAGGGTGATGAAGATTTGCATCTGTTTTTTTTAAGAGCTTTACAGTTTTAGCTCTTATGCTTAGGTCTTGGATCCATTTTGAGTTAATTTTATTGCCTAATGCAGGGTGATGAAGATTTGCATCTGTTTATTTTAAGAGCTTTACAGTTTTAGCTCTTATGCTTAGGTCTTGGATCCATTTTGAGTTAATTTTTGTTTATGGTGTGAGGTAGGGCTTCAACTTGTTCTTTTGTGGATATCCAGTTGTCCCAGCACCATTCGTTGAAATGATCCCAACTGAATTGTCTTGACATCCTTGTTGAAAGTCACTTGCCCATAAATGTTTGGGTTTACTTCTGGACCTTAAGTTCTGTTTCACTGATCTGTGTGCCTGTCCTTGTGCCAGCACCCCACTTTCTTGATTACTGGAGCTTTGTGGTAATTTTTGAAATGGAGAAGTGTGAGTCTTCCAGCTTTGTTCTTTTTTAAGATTGTTTTGGCTGTTGAGGTTGTTTGCATTTCCATATAAGTTTTAGCATAAGTTTGTTAGTTTCTGCAAAAAAAAATAAAAAAAGCCAGCTGGGAAGTATTGAATCTTCCATACAATAAACATGGATTGTCATTCCATTTATTTAGATCTTTCATTTCTCTCCACTACGTTTTACAAGTTTTCAGCGTACAGGTCTTATATGTCCTTTCTCAAATTTATTCCTAAATCTTTCATTAGATGCTATAGTAAATGGAATTGTTTTCTTAATTTCATTTTCAGATTGTTCATAGCTAGTGTATAGAAGTACAATTGATATTTGTATATTGATCTTGTGTCCTGCAAGCTTGCTAAACCCGTTTATTAGCTCTGACAGATTTTTTCATTGATTCCTTCCCCTTCAGTCTTAATGTTTAAGTTGAAATTAACTTTCAGGTCAGAAAGCAACACTGAATGCAGAAGAAATGGCTGACTTCTACAAGGAATTTTTAAGTAAAAATTTTCAGAAGCACATGTATTATAACAGGTAGGTCTTTACTTTTTTTCCAAAAAAATTGAATGTCACATACAGATTGGGTAGGGTTATTTTCTTGCCTGAATTTAATGACATTCGTGTTTATATCAAAGGTAGAAGTTGCATGACTTTATCAACTTTGTTTTTACACTTAAATAAAATTGACTGTGTCAAGTTATTTGCATGGCAACCTCTCATAGCCTTTGTCACTCCTAGTACCTAGGGTGGGGTTTTTGTTTTTGTTTTGGCAGCTGGCCAATATGGGGATCTAAGCCCTTGACTGTGGTGTTATAATACCACGCTCTAACCAACTAAGCTACCCGGTCAGCCACGGGCGAGCTCTAAGCACGTCTGTGTAGTGTTCTTCCTCAGAGAAGCCACGGTCGGAGCAGGAGAAGCACAGGAGTCGTCGAGACACCTGGCTGAAAGCAGGAGGCTGACGGGAGTCAGCCACGGGCGAGCTCTAAGCACGTCTGTGTAGTGTTCTTCCTCAGAGAAGCCACAGTCGGAGCAGGAGAAGCACAGGAGTCGTCGAGACACCTGGCTGAAAGCAGGAGGCTGACGGGGATCACTGGAGCCCCCTGAGAACAGCACAGGAACCAACTGGAAGGGGCTCCCATAGGCCAAAGATGAAGCCATTTAGGCCTCACAAAGAAAAGTGACCACAGTGGATTAAAAAGATGTCAAATATACATACCCCCACCTCTGGATAGGGCTAAGCCACCAACTTGTTCTGAAAACTGATAAATGAAAGGAAAGAATCCGGAGAGTAGGTGGCCTCCATGCCTTTCCTGTACCAACCGTATTTCAGGGTCATGAGGTGAAGGAGCATTTTTCTTTGTAGAAGACAGCGGATGCAGAAAGAGCGGTAGAATTGGCAGTGACCATTTTCCTAATGACATGATGGATCTGGGCAGCAGTTATCCACTCCTAATGGATGGTCAGGCTGGCACTCCTGGAGCCCCACGTGTGTCCACACCATGGAGTGGGGGCTTCTGTGTGCACGGAGGAAGTGCATACCACCAGCTGTGAGGTGTTCTTACAGAAAAGGGGGTTTCCATGTAGTCAGGCCTCCAAATCTGAGCACCAAATTACAGGAGAAGGTAAAAGGGGTGTGTGCATGGGGGGTCCAGTCGTAGAACATACAGTCAACCAAACCCAAATGTTGGAAATGTTATAAGCAAATGATCCAGTTTCTTTGACGAGTAACTAGAATAACAACAACAACAACAAAGAGGGGGGAACTATTATAGATTAAAAGAGACTTTGTGCAGTGTCTAGACTTTGTTTGGATCCTGATTCAGACAAACCACCTATAAAAAGATATTTCGAACAGGTAGAGGAAATTGAACAGTGACTGTATATTAGCTTGTATTAATAAATTATTGTTCATTTTATCAGATGCAATGATAGCATTGTGGTTATGTGTTTTTAAAAAGGTTTTAGCTGGTTACAGATACAGAATAGCCTGTTTTTACGAGTGAAGTGGGTGTGGTGTTGAGATTTGCTGTAAAAGAGAACAGTGACAGTCACGTGAGGCAGCTGAGGCCAGATCCTCTAGAATGTTGCTGAAAGCCGAGACTAGGTGAGCTCAGGAGGGACCAGTCCATGACATCTGGGTTCCATTTCTAGGGCTGTTGTGTATTACTCTGAACTAGTTAAGTTATTCAGTCAAGCGAGTGTTAACTGTATTTCTCTGGACCTTTGGTGTCTGACAGGAACACACAGCTTGTTTGTACCATGTGTGATGTCGTGTAGACTCGGTGTTCACTGTGCGGCACTCAGAGCACGAGGGCCAGCCTTGCCCAAGACCAGGCCGTGGAGAAGCCTGAGGCTGCCTTTTCTGTGTCCCCCACTGCCTCCCGTCCCTCGTTCCCTTGGAAATAGGAAAAGCTTAGTTTGCTGTCACCCACACATTATCGAATCAGGGCATCTGCATTAGTGAAGCAGAATCTGGCTTTTCCTTAATACTGTAAGAACTTTATCTTTTTTTAAATGCATTTTATTTTATTTTATTTTTGTGGCAGCTGGTCGAATGTAAGAACTTTAATCCCAGAGGGATACCAGTTTTGTTTTCCTGGAAGCTTGCTTACTCGGGGCACTGTTTCTCATTTGTAGCATCACTTAAGTGGATAGACACGTGAAGATCATTCTCACGTAGAGCAGGCTTTTCTATCCAGACGTGCAAAGGCTGCAGAGAACAAGCCGCTTTAGCTCTTGTTATTGCTTCTTTTGAGCACTTGGTTATTCTCTGTCCTTCTATAATGAGATCCAATAAACTATTTGAGTCCAGTCCGGAACAGAAGTTCCACAATCACTCATTAGCTCATTAGGCTGAAAAGCCTGGTATTTGTTGGCATTTCGGCCTCCAAGGGCTTAGCGCTGTCTGGAATATGCACATTCCCGTGTGGAAACTTTCCAAGCCTTGCCTGTCCAATTTGAAACTGCCAACAATGGGGTTAATTTGCAAGTTTTGGCATATTCTGTAGAGTAACTCACAGGCAAGTGAATCCATGGCTGTGTGAACTCCATCCCAATATTTGTATGAAAAGCTCTGGAAATATCTCTTTAGAGACACAACTTACACAAAAGCTCAGATCATCTAGAAAAAGAAGATATGGAGCTTTGTGATGTTGGCACTTGTGATAAATTAGCTTCTCACAACAGAGCACTTTTGTCTTGTACTTCTTATGCAAATGAGGTGCCAAAGCCCCCATATTCCCTCCAGAGCCTGCCAGCCCCTTTGCTAAGTGGTCACGCCCCCATCACTCCACAATTGTCTCTCTCCACGAATCCACCGGACTCAGGGAGGCCCAGGCTTCCAGGGGCTCAGGACTGTTTTGGAGTCCTTTAGCAAAAACCAGAGGAGGAGCAGGAGAAGGCGGGGGAGGGGCGCACCAGGCACACCCCAAGTGAGCCTTCCTCAGCCCCACGCAAGCCCAGCTGGGAGAGGGAGAAGACTTCCGTGGATCGGATCGTTTAGTTTGATGAGGGCGGAGGACTGGCCAGATGAACTTGCCTTTGGCTGGGAGTTGTCTCCAGACTGTGGGCAACAGGCCTTGTCCCTGTCACCATGTCACATGTGCTTTTCCTGTTTCTCCACAGAGACTGGTACAAGCGTAATTTTGCCATCACCTTCTTCATGGGAAAAGTGGCCCTGGAGAGGATTTGGAACAAGCTTAGACTGAAACAAAAGAAGATAAGCAATGAGGAGTCACCCTGACTCTGCCCCACCCAGAGGTTACCATGAGAAGTGGAGGGTTATAGGAGCTCATTTTACAAGGGCCCTAAAAAACTAAGTGATCCCAAGCCCCACATCTTCTCATGGGGGCCCTCGGCCTGTGTTCAGGGCAGGCTGGAACCAGGGGAGCGTGGTCCTGTGTTCTCGGGGCCATCTGGTACCCTCCTGACTGTGGATTCCAAGCTGGCTCGTTATCATGACGTGGTATTAAAGCTCAAGCAATGTGTGCCCACTTCCTGTGTTTTGAATTATACCAGTATGAAATAGAACAATATAAAAATATCAATAAAGTTTCACTTGAAAAAATTTGACTCTGGGCCGGCCCGTGGCTCACTCGGGAGAGTGCGGTGCTGATAACACCAAGGCCACGGGTTCGGATCCCATATAGGGATGGCCGGTTTGCTCACTGGCTGAGCGTGGTGCTGACAACACCAAGCCAAGGGTTGAGATCCCCTTACCGGTCATCTTTAAAAAAAAAAAAAAAAAAATTTGACTCTGATGTCAGGGATAATTTGGAAGCTGGCTGCCGAGTGAACTGCAGGCTGGCTCAGTGTTGCTGCTGCCCACAGCATGACTGGTTAGCCATGAGTTGTTGAGGGTCTGGGCCCTCACTAGACCACAGTTGTCCTGAAACGCGAACCAGTGCAGACTTAAAAGCAAGTGCAAGCCGGCCAGTCAGCTGAGCTGGTCACAGCGTGGTGCTGGTGTCACAAGGCCCAGGGTTCCATCCCTGCACCGGCCAGCAGGAAAACAAGTGCAGCTGCTCAGTCTCAGCGGCGAACCTCAGCTGCCAGGCTCTCCCCAGCAGCTTGTCAGGGGATTCTGTTCCTCTTCTTTTATTTCTTTTTCTTTAGTCACTTGTTATTATTTGTTTATTTTGCCTCCCCTAGTCCTTTTCATAGTCCCTGGGTTTGCTTTCATACCGGTTGTGGAGAATCTGCCCTGTCTCTATAGGCAGTTGCTTGAAAGCACACACCCTGAGGCCAGCCCTTATGGACTTTCTCCCCAGCCACAGCTCACATTCCTGCCAGCTGTGAGAAGATGGCCCATGCTCCCGAGTCCAGGCGGGAGCACCAGGGTGTGACCTAGTGGCCATTCACAATTACTCAGTTTAGCCATACTTAACCTGGGAACCAGCTGGAGTGGGGGGTTAAGGCCCAATGATACCAGGTGGAAAGACCTGAGACTGGTTCTCGATACTTGCCATAGTGGACACTAGCCCTCCTAGTCCAGGGCAGGCTGAGCCTTCCTGAGTATGGTGTTTACTCTCACAGGTAAACTCTGCACCCGTGAGTTTAGAGGACCAGGGGGGCTGGCTGGTTTGCTCAGTTGTTTAGAGTGTGGTGAGCACAACACCAAGGTCAAGGGTTCAGATTTCTAGACCAGCCAGCCACCAAAAAAAAAAAAAAAAAAAAAAGATAAGTAACCAGGGCCCAGGCTTCCCGTGACCTGGAAGAGACCTCTCTGCACCACTCTCCCTCTTCTTTTTAAAAGCTTTTAAAATCAGCATCATTTGAAATAGGGCTCTGTGGTTATGAAATGGTGAGGCTCTGTTTACAGTGCGTCCTGGAGCTGTGTGGCATGGGGGTCACGGCTTGCAGAGGGGAATATGCCTGCCTCAGCAACAGAGCCAGGGCCTGCTGGGAGGTGTGTCCTGAGAAGCTGCTCTTGGCAAAGAGTTTTTATTCCAAAGTGAGGCTTTACAGTAAAGCTGTAAGACTGAATTTGTCCTGTGGCTTGGAAACTGCTGCCCCAGGCTGGGCTGAAGACAGTGAGTTCTCGGTTGTTCACAGTCACTTGCAGATCTGAGTCTGTGTTCTGTTCTCTTCCCTCTCCTCACTACTGCACTTGACTAGTTTTAAAAAAAAAATAAATGAGGGGCCAGCCCAGGGCTCACTCAGGAGAGTGTGGTGCTGATAACACCAAGGCCACAGGTTCAGATCCCTATATAGGGATGGCCGGTTGGCTCACTTGGAGAGTGTGGTGCTGATAACACCAAGTCAAGGGTTAAGATCCCCTTACCTGTCATTTAAGAAAAAAAAAATTAAAAATAGATAAATAAAAATAAATAAATGAGCTGCTGCCACCAAAGGTGATCTCCAAGGCCATTGTCAGCCATTTGACTGGATGAAGGTGAGTGTCAGAACCTCGTCACCCTGTGTGTGTCTGAGGTAAAAAGTCCCCTCAGCTCAATCCTTTACACCCGAGTTTCAACAAGGGGTCCCAGAGACCAGGGGCATGCACCAAACAGTGTCAAGCACGAGTTTCACAGAAACAATGCAGCGCTGACTCATTCATGTGGCCGCCTCTGCTAGACACAGTTCCTTGGCCTGTTGCCAGAAGGTGTGACCAAGTGTATGCAGGGAGTGGAAGCAGAAGCGGGCGGCAGGGTTCAGGTGCCAGGGCACAGACTGTCTTCTAGCTTTCAGTCCTCTCATCACATCAGATTTACTGACTGACTTAAAGATCATTTAAAGGTTATCTTCTCTCCAGGTAATGTGACACTGGAATGTATAGCATGTCTAACTCTCTTTGCACAGCAATCCTGAGGGAGTTTGAGGGTGACTTTTCACAGTAACCAGCATGAAACAAGTGGATCGTCTGGAAGGAAATGCATTTTTCAGGTGCATGAACTCCAGTGTACATGCGTGCATCATCACACACTGTTAAAGATAAGGACACATTAGCTATCTACATAGGCATAGGGAGAAGATACAGTGTGTTTTGTAACCTGTGGGGCTGTTGAATGAACACCCAGGGTGTGCTCTTAATAAAGGACCTTTTCAAACAGGGGTATCCTGAATTACACTCAAAGATGTTGAAGTCATTCTGTCCCAGAGTTGGTGGCCCGGCATCGAAGACTGCAGGATCACAGAGCAAGGGAGTTCTGCCCTGCCGCTGGGGCTTGGTGAGCCGGTGCAATTGTTTGCATTGCTCAAGAACCTTTGCTAACTGTAGCTACTTGTATCACATGTCATAACTGACCTCCTTAAAATCCTCAGGGCTCCCAGAGTCAGGCTTTTTTTCTTTTTTCTTTTTTTTTTTTTTGTCCTTTTTTGAGACTGGCTGCACCGTGCTCAGCCAGTGAGCGCTGAGAGCGCACTGGCCATCCCTATACAGGATCCGAACCCGCGGCGGGAGCCCAGCACCGCACTCTCCCAAGTGCGCCACGGGCTCGGCCCCAGAGTCAGGCTTTTTGAGGTTTCAAGGAAGAGAAACTTACTCCAGGTAGTACTGGTCGAGAGTGGGGCAGGTAGCTGTTAGAAGCCAGAGACCTCTGGAAAGAGACTGCGCAGGTCCCTGTGGCTGGGAAAGCCCCAAAGCCAGAGGACCTCAATGCCCCAGCTCTCAGTCAGGGACCATGAATCTCTGTCCACCTGCAGTGAGCTGCTGCCTTCCCACGGGTGGGCTGGGCCTCGGTCAGTCCTCGTCTGGGGCAGGGCAGGCAGAGAGTTAAGGGTGCCATGCAGACTTGAGGTCTTCACCCTCCTGGACGTGCAGCCGCTTCAGCACTAGGGTGCCATCTCTGAAGCCAACCTACAGTCGAGCTGAAAGCAAACACGCACTCTACACTCAGACAGGAAAGCCTCAGTGGTTCTTTGTAAAGTAAAAGTTGTGAAAATAAAGGTGTCTTGAAAGCTCTCAGAAGGGGCAATGACACACAGTGGCAATGTCCTGGGCTAGGGGATGAAGTAGGAGTTTTGGATGCGTTGAGGTCCTCAGTAAGATAAGGATAAACAGAGGCCCAGCCCGGAGCCCCCAGCCCCCATGCACATGGCTCCACTGTTTAGGAATCAGTAGAAAAACACCCGGATCCACATGTCCATGCAGTCCCTTGTGGTATCCTCAAGATGTTTCTACCCGACAAAAATTATGCAATAGGTATTAGGGACTGTCAGTATTTTTAGTAACTGAAGACCTAAATGTTGTAATCTCCGTAACCTATATGTTGTCCTTTAATAATTTTATTTAATGCCAAATGTTTAATTTGATTCTTGGTGTTAACTGTGTTGCTAGCTTCTTAAGTGTTCTAAGCAAATAACATGAAACAACAGCACTATTTTTCTCTTTTTTTGGGTTCTTAAACATTTAAGATTAAATGATTGTGGTAAAAGTTTAGGTCACAAATAAATGCAAGTGAATTGTAATTAAAGTTATTTTGATCCTAAAATTTATAAGCTTGTTTTTTTAAAAATTAGGTTAAGATATTTTTATTTCTCAGCCATATTCACATAAAGTATTTCTGTGGACTTTTAAATATTTACAAAATAAAGGTTATTTCAATGATGTGATTTATACTGCTTTCCCCACAAAATGTTTGTTTGATAAAATTCTAAATATTTTTAATGCTTCTCGTTTTTGCATTAAAAGGTAAAATAAAGTTGAGTCTCTTCCTCCCTCTTTGTGTTGGGTGATGGTTTTAGACATTGATTTTTTAACTGTTCATATTCACCCAAATAAAGGAACTGGGTCGGGCCATCAGAAGTGCAGGGGACTCACCTGGGCTGGCTCAGGTCAGCGACAGTGGGACATCCTTGTTATTTAATACTAATCATATATTGGCAAAGTCTGCCCCCAGGCCTCGGCCTCCTCGGTTGTAATAACACACACCTTGCAGAGCCCCTGGCAGGGTTAGAAGAGTGTCAGGTGCAGCGTCTGGCAGTCACAAGCTCTTCACAGATGCTGGAATTGTAGTGACTAATAATAATGCTTTCCATAGAGACCTCCACAGGGGCAGGTTGAGACCTGAAGGCCAGCACAGTTGTGATCCGAGAGCGGGGCCCTAGAGCTGCAGGAACACGGAGGACCATCTGTGGAGTCCCAGAGGGTCTTTCCTGTTACCCCATCCCCAACGTACCCACACTCACGCTGCTCTCTGAAGAAAGCGAAATTGTATCAGGGGCATCCCTGGGCATCAAGTCCTGTGCTTTAATCCTCTGTGCCTCCCAGGGCAGAGCTTTGAGAGCTGTCTCTGGGGAGGCCTCTAGGCTGTTTCCACAGCAGGGAAGCGGCTGGTTCCTGAGCCTGTGTCCCCGGCACTCAGGAAGCTCCCACGCTGGGGGAGGTTCCATCCACTGGCTTTTCCTTGTTCTGTAAACTTGCAAGGAATAGTTTAGACTTCTGATCTATGGGGAAATCACACAACTCCTGGGAAATTGTATAACACGGTTTTGTGTTTGCTGATTTTTTGTTTTGCAATGAGCATTGCTTTTTTCTGTTTTATTAAAACAA